ATCCCCACCAAGCCCACCATATCTATGCTCGGTATTTCCATCAGCAACACTCTTTCATGGGATAATCATGTCAGATCCATCGCAAAAGCTGCTTCACAAAAACTCGGATTCTTGTTCCGTGCGAAAAGCTACTTTACACCTCAACAGCTTCTCATGATCTACAAAGCGCAGATACGGCCTGTTCTAGAATACTGTTCCCACATATGGGGTTCAGCACCAAAACATACACTGATGCTCTTAGATTCCATCCAGAGAAGAGCCATTCGCCTGGTGGGTGACGCCACACTCACTCACTCTTTGACATCATTGGAACATCGTAGAAAGGTCGGCGACCTTTCACTTTTCTATCGATACTTCCACGGGAAATGTTCTTCGGAAATCTCTGCTATCATCCCTTCACTAGCAATACCAATCAGACGAACTAGACAAGCCCAGTCAGCACATCCTTTCGTTGTCAACCTCGAAAGATGTCGAACAGCACTTTATCAAGACTCCTTCATCCATAGAACGGCTAGGCTCTGGAATTCATCGCCTGTGGAAGTATTCCCAACAACATATAATCTCCAAAAGTTCAAAAAAAATTCCAATACCTACCTCCTGTCCCTATCCTCCCAAGGAACGCACGATGTTCTTTGAACATTATAGGAATTCCCTTTCGTGCGCTCCAAGCGATAAAAAAAAAAAAAAAAAAAAAATGGTTTGAGTTAAAAGTTCTACTAAGGTGTACAAGCCCATTATAAAACAGCTAACGAATAAACAATTAGAGAAAGAGTCGAAAGACAAGTTGGCGTTATTGTTGATTTTATCATGAAAAATAACAATGATCAACTAAAAAAAAAATAACTATATACAATCAAAAGACATAGGCTAACGAATAACTGGAAATCAAAAATCGACACGCAAGAAAAACTGGTAAACAAAAATATACATAACCGCAAAAATCAGATCAGCTTTTGGTGTGCCTGTCAGTATTTCGTGTGGTGTGGATACGGGCTCAAAGTATTATGCCCTGTTGCAAGATATACAGGGTGTCCCTCCAGGAACTGCATCGATTAATATATTATAGAAAACCATCAGTAGGCCGATTTTGAAAATTTGGGAGTTCACTATTGTTGCTAAGTGCTATCCGGCCAAAATATTTTGAAGATTGTAGGACTTCCGGTTGTACCGGAAGTAGACCCCAACTCCGTTATTTTGAATAGGGCATCCTGTATATTATCAAGGTTTTAGATTTTAGGCATGACCATTTTCGAAATATTTCAAATTTTAAGTAAATGCACTTTCCAACGAGTTTTGTACACTATTTTTTAGACGACCACAAATATTTATATTATATAGGTCATGAGTGTTTATAAGACCAGAGTAGGGATCATGTTTCTAATCATATTCGATCACATGAGGGTGATATCATTATTATTTAATTTTACTT